AACATTGAGAACAGACAAATCTACAGAAAATAGGATAGTGGCAGCTGCCAGGGGCTGGGGGAGGAGTGACAGCTAATGGGTACAGGGGTTCTTGGTTTCCTTTCCTTTCCTTTCTTTGAGACAGGGTCTCACTCTGTCACCCAGCCTGGGGTGGGCACAATCTTGGCTCACTGAAACCTCTACCTCCTGAGTTCAAGTGATCCTCCCGCCTCGGCCTCCCCATTAGCTGGGACTGCAGGTGCCTACCACCAGGCCTGGCTAATTTTTTTTTCTTTGAGATGGAGTTTCACTCTTGTTGCCTAGGCTGGACTGCAATGACACAATCGCAGCTCACCGAGATTACAGGTGTGAGACAAGGTGCTGGGCATCGAAGTGACTCTCACTTCCGCTCAGTTTCATCTCCCCTCCCGGCTGCCACACTGGCGTCCGTCTCACAAAAGGAAAGGTCTGTTTAGCCGGGCATGGCGGCGCATGCCTGTAATCCAGCTACTCAGGAGGCTGAGGCAGGAGAGTTGCTTGAAACCGGAAAATGGAAGTTGCAGTGAGCCGGGATCGCACCACTGCACTCCAGCCTGGCAACAGAGCAAGACTCTGTCTCAATTTATAAAAAGAAAATAAATAAACAAATAAATAAAAATAAAAGGGAAGGTCTGCTCTTTCTCCCTCTTGTCGCATGTGGAATTATGCAGTCACCTGTGGGACACTGGACTTAACTCCCCCCCTCCACCCGCCAGCACCAGGAGGGGCCTATCGTGTTCAGGACAGAGACCCTGGAGGCTGCTCAGAGCCTGGCCAGGGCAGATGCTTAACAAACATCTGTTAAAACAGGCAGGACTTATTTCAACCTAAGAGCTGGCCAGAGAAGTCAGGAAAGGGCCAAAGCAGGGGCACAGCGGAGGTGCCTTCATGCTCGCCCCTGCCCGCCACTGACCGTCATGCCAGGGCACATGCCAGCCACCCGGTGACTCAGGGATCAAAGGCACATTCTCCTTAATTGCATACTTATAGAAGATGTCACATGGCACTGGGGCTCCCAGGAGTCAGCTACACAGGGCAGGGGCGGGGGCAGCTCCCTGTTCCATGCGGCAGGTGCACAGCGAAAGAGCGGGGTGTCTACCCCAGAGAGAAACGAAGGCAGGGCGTCCTTCGGCCCAGCATGGCAATGACAAAAAAGCGTGGCTCTTCTGAATTCTGAGAGTCTGAGGAAGGGCAGGGAGCCTCACACTCCTCCCTGCATGCCAGCTGCAAGGGTCCTAGGACTCAGCACGCCTTCGATGCTGGCTGAGTCTGGGGAAATAATGCAGTGAAGACAGCAGAGGTCTGCCTCACACGGCAGGAAAGGCGAAGGGAATGCAGAACAGAACGGGCAGTGCAGGGGCCCAGAGCCGGGACGGTGCCTGCAGAGGCGAGCGCTGGTGCAGAGGGGGCTGCCATGTAACAGCCCGGCTTCTGCTGGGGCACAGAGTTCGAATCCCACCGATGCGCTAGGCGCCAGGGCCAGGTCAGCCCCTCCGCAAGCACCTAGAGCGCCCACACGGGGGCGGAGGCGCAGACGTCCTGGGAGATCCCCCGGCCCCGGCGCCCTCGTGAATCACCGCCCAGGCCATGCGCAGCAGGAGGGAGGTGCGCGCGGCCCCTGCACCGCCACTTCCTGCTGCCGGGCGAAAAGGCAGCCCCCGCGCCCGGGACTTCGAGACCCCCCAGTCCCCCAGGCCTGAGACGCGGGGACCCCGAAGCCTGGCAGGTGAGCGCAGCGCGGCGCGTGGAGGGAGGTGTGACCTCCGGGGTCTGCGGAAGGACGAGGGCGCGCGGCCTCCAGTCGCTGCAACCTGCGCGGAGCCAGGGCCGTGTCCGTCCCGGGAGGGTCCCCACACCTGGGGCCCCGCGGCTCTTACCGACCAGCAAGCACAGCACTTCGAGCAGCACAAAGACCAACCTCTGATGCATGCTCGCGGCCCCCGACGCCGCTCTCTGCGCATCCCGGCCCTGCCCGGCTGCGGGTCACGTGGCCGCGCAGCCCGCCTCGCGTGGAGGGGGCGGGGGAAGGAGGTGAAGGGGGAGGGGAGGTGAGGGAGGGAAGAGGGGAGGGCACGGAGGGGAGGGGAGCGGACGGGAGGGGAGCAGAGGACGGGTGCCGCGACCCCGGGAAGGTGTGGACTTTGCCCCCTCCACGGCGCTGGGAGAAGTGGATGGGGCGAGCGTGTGGTCGCCGCGGGGACCGTTCGCCTGGAGTCCGGGGCCCTCACCAGGGCTGTGCACATCTCCGAGCTGCGCGCTGTGGTGCCGGGCTCCAGGGTCCCCGCGTGGAGAAGGAAGGCCGCAAAGGACCGCGGGAAGGGTGCGCTCTGGCTCCGCAGGATGGGTCCCCCCACTTTCCTCCCAGGAAGTCAGGAAGTGACCCCGTGCTGGGCACCTTGAAACCTCCGAAAGGGCCGGGCACGGTGGCTTACAGCTGTCATCCCAGCACTTCGGGAGGGCGAGACGGGCCGGTCACGGGTGGTCAATGGCTCGAGACCAGCCTTGCCAACATGGTGAAATCCGGTCTGTACTAAAAATACAAAAATTAGCCAGGCATGCTAAAAGTTAGGTGGCGTGAGCCTGTGGTCCCAGCTACTCGGCAGGCTGAGGCAGGAAATTCACTTGAGCTCAGGAGGTGGAGGTTGCAGTGAGCCAAGATTGCGCCATTGCACTCCAGCATGGGCGACAGAGCAAGACTCTATCTCAGGGAAGCAGGGGGGAAGAGTATAACTTCCACCAGCACCTCAATTTTAGACTCTCAAACAGCCGATAACAGGAAAATGATCTGACGACCAGCAGCCAGTGAAGAGGCATGCTGAACAGTTCAGAACATGTGTCTAACCCAAATCAACCCTGCCAAACGACTTGCTTAAAAAATAGAATGAACTGGGTGTGGTGGCTTATGCCTGCAATCCCAGCACTAAACCCTAACCCTAAACCCTAACCCCTAACCCATTACCCTAACCCTAAAACCCAACCCCTAACCCTAACCAAACCCTAGCCCAACCCTAACCCTAACCGTTAACCCTAACCCAACCCTAACCCTGACCCTAACTCTTAACCCTAACCCCTGACCCTAACCCTATCCCCTAACCCTAACCCCTAACCCCAATACTAACCCTAACCCTAACCCTAAAACCCTAACCTTAAAACCCTAACCTAACACCTAACCCCTAACCCTAACCTCTACCCTAACCCTAACCCTTAACCCTAACCCTAACCCCTAACCCCTAACCCCTAACCCTAACCTGGGGGCAGGCTGTGAAGGTCTATGAAGGTCTGTGGACTGGACTTTCACATGGAAATCATGTATTTTTGACTGTGCATGGTGGCTCACGCGTGTAATCCCAGCACACTGGGAGGCCAAGGCGGGAGGAACACGAGGACAAGAAATCAAGACCGTCCTGACCAACATGATGAACCCCGTCTCTACCAAAAATGCAAAACATTAGCTAGGGGTGGTGGCACACGCCTATAATCCCAGCTACTGGGGAAGCTGAGGCAGGAGAATCCCTTGAACCCGGGAGGTGGAGGTTGCAGTGAGATCAGAGCTTGCCACTGCACTCAAGCCTGGGAACAAAACACACCGTGCCCCCCCCCAAAAGAAAAGAAGAAAAAGAAACCGTGAATTTCCTGATTTGTGAGTTATGTGGGGGTCGCCTGAAGAACTGTTTGTGCTTTTGGTGAAACACACGGGGGCATTTTGTCTCAAGCTGCAAATCTGTCACAGCAGTAACTGCTCTAGGGAATCGGAGGTCAGGAGAAGGCATACTAACTGCAGTTCCAAGTTTCCCAGAAATATGACGTTACTGGTAAGTCAAATACTTTTTAAAACAACCCTGTCAATACCACATCAGAAAGGCAGAAACGACATCACACTTCGTAACAGAGGCCAAACCCAGCCTAACATAGACTGTAAAGCCAGTGCCCCAGCGAGAACCAGAGGGTCCCATCCTCGGTGCTGCAGACACTCCAAAGGACATATTCATGTCCCAAGTGATGATATGTGTGTTCTAAGGGACACATTATGGGGGTTATATGAGTGTGAGAGGTGTTGCATTAGTCTGACGGTGTCATGGTCACTCCAAGCATTGCATGTGTGTTCAGGGGGACACACGTGTGTTCTGGGGGTTACATGAGTGTGAAGAGCGTTGGGTTAGTCTGACAGCATTATCTGTGTGTTCCAGGTGCCCTGACTCTGACGGTGTAAGAGTCATTCCAGGTGATATGTGTGTGTTCCGAAGGACACATGTGTGTTCCAGGGGTTATATGAGTGAGACAGGTATCGGGTTAATCTGACGATATCATTTGTGTGTTCCAGGTGATATGTGCACTCTGAAGTGTCACTGGCGTTCTGGGCATACCTGTGCGCTCTGAGGGACACACGCATGTTCTGGGGGTTATAGAAGTGTGACAGGTATTGGGATACTCTGAGTCTGATGTCAGAGGCTTTCTGGGTGATGTGTGTGTGCTCTCAGGGACACACGCATGTTCTAGGGTTAGGAGAGTTTGACGGCTGCGGTGTCGGTCTCTCGCGGGCGTTCTGAGTGGTTCGTGTGAGCACTCAGGCGTTCTGGGCGTTCTCTGCACTCTGAGAGGCACATTCGCATTGCTGCCATGTTCCCCTAAGCGGTGTGAGGTGCCACCCAGCACCACAGACGGAGCGTTACTGGGATTATAAGCCGTTCTTATTCTTTGCCCTCCTGACGCTGCATTTCTGTTCTGACAAAGAGCCTCAGCTCCGCCTGATTCACCACCGTCTTTGGTTTCTAATTTTCCACAGGAAGGTTCTCTGCCCCTCAGCAGTCAGGTCAGCAAACAAGAAAGCTTTTACTCACGTGGACACGGGCCCCAGGCGACCCGAAGTGCGGGGCGTCCCCGGACTGTGCTGAGAACCTAGCCCGGCGTCACACGCGCCTGCGCACGGGAAATGGGCGGGACGCCGTGGCCTCCGGGTTAGAAAAGATGGGGCTCGCGCGCCCTCTGCTGCGGCCGGGGGCACTGCAGGGCCCTCGCGCTCATGGCGCTGGCGGTGGACACGCACCCTTAAAGTCAAAAGGCGAAGCGTTCAGCGCCATCGTTCTGAAAATGCAAACTGACACGGAGCCCACTAGCCCGTGTGTTTCTATAAATGAAGAAGGGACAATTAATTGGAAACCACAGGAAATAAAATGGACATGGATGCACATTTTACAACTTATGCAAAAATTCACTTGTCTTCACACTTAACTTTAAACTTACTCTAACCTTTACTGTAACCCTAACCCTAAACCTCACTAACTCTTTCACCCCAACCCTTTACTGTAATCCTGACCTCTCAACCTAACCTGTTACTCACCTGATCTCTCCCACTAATCTCTACTATGCAGCTCCCAACCACCAACTGGAGCCTCCTATCTTGCAGCCCTTATACTATAATCTTCAGTCAGTAAACTCCTAACCCTTAAACCCCTATCTCCTGAGTTTGTAACACCCTGACACGCTAAATCTGTAAATACTAACCACAGTCTATTCACAATCCCATCCTTATCTATCCCACTCAGCGCCACGCCACTTCAAGGACTGATTCACAACCTCAGAAATGCAGACTTAAAAATCTTCAACATAATAATAGCAAATTTAAGCCAACAGCATTTTGAAAACATCAAACACCAGGAACATGACTGTTTATCCCAGTAAATCCATGGTGGCCTGCCTAATTTTGTATTTTCAGTAAAGATTGTTTTTGCCATGTTGGCCAGGCTGGTTTTGAGCTTCTAACCTCAGGTAATCTGCCTGCCTCGGCCTCCTAAAGTGCTGGAATTACGGGCGTGAGCCTCCGAGTCTGGCCAAAGAATCCATTTTATGTGTATACACTAGCAATGAATAATCTGAAAAAAATTATTAAAATCCCACTTTAAATAATACCAATAGCAATAATACATTTAGGAATAAACATAATCAAATGGCAAGACTTAGAGGAAATTATAAGACTTTGCTTAAAGAAATTAAAGCCCAAATAAATTAAAAACATATCATATTCATGGATTTGAAGACCATATTTGTTAAGTTTGCCAAACTACACAAAGCAGTCAACAGATTCAATATTATTCTTATGAAAATCCCAAAGGCCTTGAGACAGAAATGGGAAAGCCGATCCTAACGTGCATATGGAATTTCAAGGAACCCTGAAAAGCCAAACCGATCCTGAAAAATAACTCCAAATCTGAAGGTTCGCACATCCCAGTTTCTAATCTTATTACAAAGCAACAGTAATCAAAACAGCATGATACTGGCACAAGAAAAAACAAAGACCAACTGAACTGAATTGTGAGTCCAGACACAAAACATTACCTCCATGCTCAACTGATCTGAGACAAGGTCCATAACCATTAAATTGGGGAAAAAATGCTGTCCTCAACAAGTGATGTAAGGCAACATGCTATCCACATAAAGGGATGTGAAATTGTATCCTTATTTCATATCACATAAAACATTTAACTTAAAATGGATCAAAGATCTACATATGGCAAAACTAAAATCTCTAGAGAAAACATACAGTTAAACCTTCATGACCATGAATATAGCAATAGTTTCTTAGACCTGACACCAAAACCACAGAACAAAAAATGAAAAATAAATCAACTGATTTCCTCAAAATTCAAAACTTTTATGCATCAGAAGACATGAAGAAAAAAGTTGAAAGACAGAATTGTTATAATAGGAAAAACAACTGTCTTCTAGTATACGCTCAACAATCAATACAAAACACTTCCATTAACAGATGCATGGTTTTTTTTTTTTCCCAGACAGACCAAATCTTGGGTACCAGCTGGATGTCCTACAGGGCAATCCAATTCTGACACTGACTGGAGAAAGCATCACACCACACAGACCCACGACTCAGTCCTAAGAAGGTAGGTCATGCCACTTGTTGCTTGCAATTTCAATTGACAAGCACATGGTAAAAAGAAAGTGACTTTATGACAGTGCTTGGCTGAAGGGAAAATACAGGCTCTTCCCTTAAGGAAACTGCTTTCACTTTCGGGTCAGAAAGTGGGAGCTTTCAAAGGAAGACTTGGCAGAATGGCATGCAGGGGATGGGATGAGGAGCTGCAGGGTCTATGGGACTTGCTCTGATGTTTTATCCACTAGGTGGTCTTCCTAGGACCACCATGGGCAGAGCTAGTTTGTAAAATGACTGTTGTGTCCTGCCAATCTCCTGGCAGGGGAGAGGTCCGGAGGTGCCCAGTTTGTTTCCAGATTTGGTCCCTGGAACATCTAAGTAAGCACACTTAGAAAAGCTTGAAGTGTAGGAAGTATCTCATGGAGAGACAGTAAAGCTTATCACTGCATTCCTAAAGAGCTAAGTAGGAAGTGCAGGACAAAAAGAACCATAAAAGTAATTCATTTCTTCTTTAAGAAAATAGGGGAATTCTGTTATAAGATGACAATCACAAATAGTAGGTTCCCAGGTTACCTTCTGTCTAACTTGGCTACAGATTGGAGGCTCCCACAACACCCTTATTTACTATAGCACATTACAGCACCCATGAAAACAGTGTACTTACTATTGCTGACTTATTGTGAAGGATATTTTAAAGGCTACAAATAAACAGATAAAGAGATGCACTGCGTGAAGTATGTGGAAGAGGTGCAGGCCTCCCAGGCCCTCTCTAGACATGATCTTCCCAGCATCTCCCCGTGTTCAGCAACACATATGCTCACACTCTATCCCAACACCGTCCTTTATTACATAGGCAGATTGGTTACATCAGTGGCCATAAGTGATCAACTCAATCGTCAGCAACTCTCCCCTTGACGGAGATGATGGGGGAGATGAAATTTCAAATCCTCTAATGACTAGGTTGGTTCCCTTGGCAGCCAGCCACATTGAGGCTGTCCAGGTGCCCCCAACCATCAGTCATCTCATCAGCACACAAAGACACATCACTTCATACATTCCAAAGGCTTAGAGCTCTGTCTCAGGACCCCAGGGCAGAGATCACAGATTAACTCTTGTTATTTTCCAATAACCCACAAAATGGAAGAAAAAAACTACACATCGAATACTTCAAAAGTGTCTGCTATCCAGAAGATATAAATAACTTTTGGAACTCAACAACAAAGACAACCCAACCTAAAAACTGACAACGGACTTTAACACACACTTCACCAAGCACATGAAAAGATGCTTAACATCATTACTCACAATTAAAACCATAAAGAGATACCCCTTAACGCAATAGAATACTTACACTAAAAAAAAAAGTGTTAACAAAGATGTGCAGAAACTTGAACTATGAAACACTGCTTGTGACAATATGAAATGGTGCAGCATAAATGTAAAATAATTTGGTGCCTCTTCAAACAGATACAAATTGATCTACCATATGACTCAGTGATTCCATTCCTAGTATATAACCCAAAGACCTGAAAACAGGTGTTCAAATAAAAACCTGTATGCTCTTTAAATGTGTCAAGATCCTAAATATGCAGGAAACTCTTGGGAACGGTGCCAGGAAAATTGTATCAGAATGAAAAAAACACATTATATTCCTAGATGGGGCAGAAAATAAAAGTGAAATGAGTTTGTGAAACGAAATATCACGTAGGAACCATGTTGATTTCATGATCTAGGGGTTATGTGGTAGTAACCTGGGAGAGTGTCCCTGCTTTGGGTAAAATATACCAGAGTATTTTGTGGGACACTGCAAATCTGGTACAGCAATAACTGCTGGGGAATCTAAGAAACAGGTTATATTTTGTACTGCTACTGGAAGTTTCCTAGAAGTAAATTACTTTTTAAAACAACCATATCAATACTATGCCAGAAAAGCAGAGACATCATCAAAATCCACTACAGAGGCCATGCTTCATCCAAAGCAGTGAACCGTTATAAAAGACTCAATGTCAACAGACTGCATTTACTAGATATTATTAGTAGTATTAGCAGCTACTGTGTGGATACATTAGTGTTAAGGCACGGTGTGAATATTACTGTTAGGGCATAGTGTACATGTTATACTGATGTTGGAGAACCGTGCAAATATTACAGTAGCATTAGGGCACAGTGTGAATAGTATTACATTAGTATTAGAAACAACGGTGTGTCTATTAGATTAGCGTTAGAGTATGGTGTGGATATTATATTGGTAGTAGGGCACAGTATGGATATCATAGTAATGTTAGGGCACGGTGTGATTATTATATCAGAGGCCACTGTGAGAATATATCTTAGCAGCCACTGTGTCTGGGACACTGACAATGATATCAGGATGTACTCATAACAATGGGATTTGGGGATTTCATTTTTCTAGATGAATTTCTTCCTTTGCTGAGTACTCTGAAGACTGTCTTCTCTGCATTCAGGGCCATGGAAAGAAAGCTTTTTACTCACCAATGAACAACACTTAGTTGACACGACCCTCGTGCTGCCCTAAGGAAGTCGAAGCTCGTGGCTGCTTCTGGCACCTCACAGGGAAGTTGGTCAGGGGTGGGTTCACGTGCCCTCTGGTGACGCTACAACTCAGCACGGACACTTTTGCTCAGTTTCTCGGCGGATGTGCACCCGCACATGGCTGTCCTGAAATACCTATAAAATTCAATGTTGAATTTATTCAATGTAATAATTTTAGAAATTCAAACCAAAATGAAGTTCACTGTAGCCATGTCCTTCCCAAACATGGTGATGGAAGACTTTGGAAGCCATGTAGAATAAAATGAATATATACACAAATTAAGAAAAAAAAAACCTTACTCAAAATAGTCCAGACTGGAATTTTAAATGCAAAACTATAAAAAATCTAAAATAAAATCTATGTGATATTGAGTTTGGTGCTGAGCTGTAACACAAAACATCAAATGCCAATTCATGAAAATATTGATAACACAGACTTTTTAAAACTAAGTATTCTACTGTGACAAACTGTATTCAGAGAACAAAAAGACAAGACAGATGTGAGAAGATATTTACAAAATACAAACATGATTTTAAAACTGGGTAAATATCTGAACAGATACCCAACCAAAGCAAATATACCAATAGTAGGCTGGGCATGTCTGTCATCCCAGAACTGTGGAAGGTGGAGGCAGGTAAATCATCCGGGGTCAGGAGTTCCAAACCTGCCTGGCCAACTTGGTGAAACCCCGTCTCTACTAAAAATACAAAAAATTAGCCCAGCATGCTGGTGGGCACCTATAATCCCAGCTACTTGGGAGGCTGAAGCAGGAGAATCACTTAAACATGGGAGGTAGAGGGTGCAATGAGCCAAGATTGTGCCATTGCACTCCAACATGGGTTACAGAGCAAGACTCCATCTCAAAAAAAAAAAAATGTTAATAACATACCTGATACATGTTGATATGTTAATGCGAGGGGAAACTAGGTTGGGTCTACACAGGAAATCTGCATTTTCCTCCCAATTTCAGTGTGAATCTAAAACTAAAACAAAACCTTTATTTACAAATTGCAAATTTTTTCAAATATCTGCTTAATCATTTGTACTAATAATAACTAGGAACTGACACTAACTACTCCTACCTTTTAAAATAAGGGCATTCATGATGCTGCAAAATAAATCATGGAAACATATATAACTTCAAGGAAATGCCTATTTTACATGATTTATGTTAAAACAACACATACATGTAAACATATTTATCGTATCTTTTATCTTGCGGTGTGGTTCACTCTCTAGAAAACCTGGTCACCTTAGAACCAGGGAAAGAATTCACACTTTGGAGACTACTTCAATTTACAGCTGGACGTTTTCAAAAGCATAACTTTAAAAAACAATTAAAATAGCAATTGATTGTGACTGAATCACTTATTCTAATGAAGGCTTGTCTTTGTTTTGTTTCCCAGCATTCCTTTTAGCTACAATACAACAAAAGCAAACATTTGCCATTAAAAAAATATTCAAAGACAAGAAGACTGTAAATGGAATTTGTGACCACAATTATTCAATGTTTCATCAGGATGCCTTCTAATACAGAAGAGTTTAAAGGAATAGTCAAAGTTATTCCCCCAAAGATGCTTTGAAGAAATCGATGAAACCTGAGAAACAAAAGTGGCAGGACGTTCAACGTGACTTAAGATGTCACTCTGTCTTGTGAGAAAAAATAATTTATCTTTTAGAGGATCACAAAGAACTACCGGAAGCCCAGACTCTGGAATGTTTCCAAATTTAGATGTCAATATCACTAGCAAAGAATATAATAAAAAGGGATCTGTGTTTTATTTGTGTAATACAATACCAAAGCAGTATTTAATGCTCCAAGGAAAACAAGTAATGCCTGAAATACAGTTGACAACATCAGAAGCAAAATAAGCTTCCTGGCCAGGCACGGTGGCTCATGCCTGTAATCCCAACACTTTGAGAAGCCAAAGCAGGTGGATCACCTGAAGTCGGGAGTTCGATACCAGCCTGACAAACATGGAGAAACCCTTCTCTACTAAAAATACAAAAATTACCTAGGCATGGTGGTGCGTGCCCATAATCCCAGCTACTCGGGAGGATGCAGCAAGACAATAGCTTCAACCCGGGAGGTGGAGGTTTGTGGTGGGCCGAGATCACGCCATTCCTCTGCCCTACTGTATATGTAAATATGCAGATTCACTGAACCAGACTAAATTGTATTCAGTGGAAGGCCGATCAAAAAATTCAAAAGAATGCAACCTTTTGTTTTATCTGCTTCTGACCTAGAACCACCCCCCACCCCACCTTCCTACTTCTAGTTGTTCCACCTTACTGGACCAAACGACTATACATCTTACACATATTGATTGGTGTGTTACGTCTCTTTAAAATATATAAAAGCAAGCTCTACCCTGACCACCTTGGGCCCATGTTGTCAGGACCTCCTGAAGCTGTGTCATGGGCTTGTCCTTAACCTTGGCGAAATAAGCTTTCTAATTCACTGAGACCTGACTCAGATATTTTGGGATCACAATTCACAATCACCATGGTGTGACATTTAACTACAGCATTCAGTACAGAGATGTGCCATACAGGTATGTAGCCTGGGAGCAATAAGCTATACCATACAACTTACATGTGGAGTGAGCTACACCATCTAGGTTTTATAAAAATACTCCATGGTGTTCGCACAAAGATGAAATAACTAAGGACAAATTTCTCAGAAAGTATCCACATCGTTAGGAGATGCTTGAGTGTATGTTAAATGGTTACAGGCCGGAGAAAAAAAAAAAGAAACTCAACTCCTGTTACGGTTTAACAACAAAGCTTAATAGAGTTAACGTATTTCCTCTACTCTAAGATGCTAATAATTAACAAACATTATTTTATGCAACATCACAAATAGGTTGCCAATTAAACCGACTTTCTGAATGACAACAAAAATGTGAACTTACTTCTATTAGTGCCAGGAAAGTAAAATGGAAATGAATTATGGTTTTGACATGTTAAAGCAAAAGAGGAGGACGCCGTTAGCCTGAGGTCTTGCCTGAGCAAACGGAAACCCAACTTCGAGACATGTAAACTGACTTAAACACATTAACAAACCAACCAGTCCTTGACAAGAAGCCCAGCTGCCAGTCGGCCGCAGGACCATTGACAACCCTGCGGTCGCCCGGCTGGAGCCAACGAGAACGCTCACTGAGCTGCCGCCGTACGAGCTGGAGGCCCGGAGCCCTCATTTCATTCTGGTGCTTCAGGCATGATTCATGAGTCATTCCTTTGCCTAAAATCCTTCTAACCCCCAACCCTAACCCTTGGCCGTCATCCTCACCCTCACCCTCACGATCCGTTAGTTTCTGCGTTTGCACTGACAGGTCAGTGTTGACTATTAAAACTCGCACTGCAGCCGCCTGGCCTTGGCTGCGCGGGATTCAGAGGAGCTTTTGGTGCCCAGTCTTCCCCACCGAGGTCGTACTAGTCCCTGACCCTGAGCATTCCGGGCCGCACGCAGGAGGGGACTGACACCGCGGACGCGCCCAGCGTGCGAGCGAGGCTGTGCCCGCTCGTCTGTGCCGTGGAGAACGCGGCTCCGCACCCACGGTTCCCCGCAGATGCACACTGAGGGGACTGCGACTCCGCAGATGGGCGGGACAACACGCGACGCACGCCGGGGCCGGGAGGCCGCGCGCCACGCACGCCGCGCCACGCACGCCGGGGGCGGGGCGCCGCGCCACGCACGCCGGGGCGGGACGCCGCGCCACGCACGCCTAACGCTAACCCCTAGCCCCTAACCCCTAACCCCTAACCCCTAACCCCTAACCCCTAACCCCTAACCCTGAGCCGAACCACGTTAAGTGCAGGTTGCTATGAGCACAGATTGCGCTAACGCTCTCCGTCTTTGGCAACAGAGCTACACCCTGTCTCAAAAGGAAAAAATACAAAAAGTTAGCTAGGCATGGGAGCGGGAGCCTGTAGTCTCAGCTACTTTAGGGGGCTTCGGCAGGGGACTTGTTTCAACCCAGGAAACGAAGGTTACAGTGAACGGAGATTGTCCCACTGCGCTCCAACCTGGACAACAGTGCAAGACTTCGTCTCAAAAACAAAATAAACAGTTAAACACACACTTCACCAATAACACATGCAAACAGACAACAGGCACATAACAAGGTGATCGGTAGTATTACCATTATGGCCATCTACACTGAAACCACAATGGCATACACCTTTCACACACACTAGAAAGGCTATAATCCAAAGAAACGTAAAATAAGTGTTAGCAAGGTCTGAGAGAGATCACCATCCTTAAATACCGTATGGGGAATATAAAATAGTGCAACCTTTTTTAAAAATATATACGTTATTGGATTTTAGGTTTGGCGGTACATGTGAAGAACATGCAAGATTGTTGCATAGGTACATACCTGGCAATGTGTTTTGCTGCCTTTCTCCCCATCACCTGTATCTGTCATTTCTCCGCATGTTATCCCTCCCGAACTCCCCCTACATACCCACCACAGACCCCAGTGTGTGATGCCCCCCTCCCTGTGTCCATGTGTTCTCACTGTTCAACACCCGCCTATGAGTGAGAACATGCAGTGTCTGATTTTATGTTCTTGTGTCAGTTTGCTGAGATTGATGGTTTCCAGGTTCATCCATGTCCCTACAAAGGACATGAACTCATTGTTTTTTTAGCTGCATAGTATTCCATGGTGTATACATGCCACATTTTCCCTGTCCAGTCTATCGTCGATGGGCATTTGAGTTGGTTCCAGGTGAGGTTTCTCATTGGCTCCAGCTGGGCAACCGCTGATTGTGGGGATGGTTCCCTCAGTGTCCCTAATCATGCAGCCAAGTGGCAGCTGGGCTTTTTGTCATTGACTGGTTGGTGTGTTAACGTTTTTAAATCAGTTTAAATGACTCCAAGTTTGATTTCCGTTTGCTTAGGCAAGACCTCAGGCTAACGACTTCTTCCTTTTTTGCTTTAATGTATCAGAACCATAATTCATTTTCATTTTACTTTAGTGACAGTAAAAGTAAGTTCACATTTTTGTTGTTATTCAGAAAGTCGGTTTTATTGGCAACCTATTTGTGATGTTGCATAAAATAATGTTTGTTAATTATTAGCATCATAGATTAGATGAAATATGTTAACTCTATTAAGCTTTGTTATTAAACCATAACAGGAGTTCAGTTTCTTTTTTTCTCCTAGGTTTCAACCCTTTAAAACACAGTCACACATCTCCTAACAATGTGGATACTTTCTGATAAATTTGTCCTTTGTGATTCCATCTTTGTGCAAACACCATCGAGTGTCCTTATAAAACCTAGTGTAGCCCACTTCACACATAAGTGATATGGTAACCCTAACCCTAACCCTACCCCTACCCCTAACCCTAACAACCCTAACCCTAACCCCAACCCAACCCTAACCCAACTTTCATCTTGAATTCCCATGAGTTGTGGGAGGGACCTGGTGGGAAGTAATTGAATCATAGGGGCAGGTCTTTCCTGTGCTGTTCTCATGATAGTGAATAAGTCTCACAAGATCTGATGGTTTCAAAAATGTGAGTTTTCATGCCCAAGCTTTCTTCTTTTGTCTGCTGCCATGTCAACTTCTACCATGATGGTGAGGCCTCCCCAGCCACGTAGAACTATAAGTCCATTAAACCTCTTTCTTTTGTTAATTGCCTGATCTTGAGTATGTCTTTATCAGCAGTGTTAAAATGGACTAATACGGTAAATTGGTACGAGTAGACCGAAACACTGCTGAAAAGATACCCAAAAATGTGGAAGCAACTTTGGAACTGGGTAACAGGCAGAGGTTGGAACTGTTTGGAGGGCTCAGAAGAAGACAGGAAAATGTAGGAAAGTTTGAAACTCCCTAGAGATGTGTTGAATGGCTTTGACCAAAATGCTGACAATGATATTGATGATAAAATCCAGGCTGAGGTGGTCTCAGATGGAGATAAAGAACTTGTTAGGAACTGTAGCAAAGGTGACTCTTGTTATGTTTTAGCAAAGTGACTGGTGACATTTTGTCCCTGCCCTAGAGATTTGTGGAACTTTGAACTTCAGAAAGATGATTTAGGTTATCTGGCAGAAGAAATTTATAAGCAGCAAAGGATTCAAGAGGTGACTTGTGTGCTGTTGATGGCATTCAGTTTTAAAAGGGAAACAGAATAAAATTTGGAAACTTTGCAGCCTGACAAAGTGATAAAAAAAGAAAATCCCATTTTCTGAGGACAAATTCAAGCCAGCTGCAGAAATTTGCATAAGTAACAAGGAGCCAAATGTTAATCACCAAGACAATGGGAAAAATGTCTCCAGGGCATGTCAGAGACCTTTACAGCATTACAGGCCTAGAGGTTTAGAAGGAAAAAATGGCTTCATGGGCCAGGCCCAGGGTCCCTCTACTGTTTGTAGTCTAGGGACTTGGTGCCCTGCATCCAAGCCACTCCTGCCATGACTAAAAGGGGCCAAGGTACAGCTTGGGCTGTTGCTTCAGAGGGTGGAAGCCCCAAGCCTTGGCAGCTTCCACGTGGCATTGAGCCTATGAGTGCACAGAAGTCAAGAATTGAGGTTTGGAAACCTCCACCTAGATTCCAGAAGATGTATGGAAATGCCTGAATGCCCAGGCAAAAGTTTGTGCAGGGGAGGAGCCCTCATGGAGCACCTCTGCTAGAGCAGCACAGAAGGGAAATGGGTCAGAGCCCCCACCCAGAGTCCCAACTGGGGTACCACCTAGTGGAGTTGGGAGAAAAGGGCCACTGTCCTCTAGATTCCTGAATGGTAGATTTGCTGACAGCTTGAACCGTGTACCTGGAAAAGCCACAGACACTTGAAATGTCACTAGGAGACACTTAATGCAGGGTAAAAGCCAAGAGATCTTCATATATTGTGATTTGAGTATTTTCAATTAAGGCAATGTCAGAAAGTCATTAGGTTACTGTTGAAAAAATTAAGTGGCACTGAGCAGTAAAATGATTTTCATTCTAAGATATAACATCTACAGGCATTAAAATATTTCTATAATATAAAAATGTAAAAGGTGGCCGGGCGCGGTGGCTCAAGCCTGTAATCCCAGCACTTTGGGAGGCCGAGGCGGGTGGATCACAAGGTCAAGAGATCGAGACCATCCTGGTCAACACGGTGAAACCCCNTTTATCAGCAGTGTTAAAATGGACTAATACAGTAAATTGCTACGAGTAGACTGAAACACTGCTGAAAAGATACCCAAAAATGTGGAAGCAACTTTGGAACTGGGTAACAGGCAGAGGTTGGAACTGTTTGGAGGGCTCAGAAGAAGACAGGAAAATGTAGGAAAGTTTCAAACTCTCTAGAGATATCTTGAATCACTTTGACCAAAATGCTGATAATGATATGGACGACAAAATTCAGGCTGAGTTGGTCTCAGATGGAGATAAAGAACTTGTTAGGAACTGTAGCACAGGGGACCCTTGTTGTGTTTTAGCAAAGTGACTGGTGACATTTTGTCCCTGCCCTAGAGATTTGTGGAACTTTGAACTTCAGAAGGATGATTTAGGGTACCTGGCAGAAGAAATTTCTAAGCAGCAAAGGATTCCACAGGTGACTTGGGGACTTGGGTGCTGTTGATGGCATTCAGTTTTAAAAGGGAAACAGAATAAAGTTTGGAAAATTTGCAGCCTAACAATGTGGAAAAAAAAGAAAATCCCATTTTCTGAGGACAAATTCAAGCCAGCCGCAGAAATTTGCATAAGTAACAAGGAGTCAAATGTTAATCACCAAGACAGTGGGGAAAATGTCTCCAGGGCATGTTAGAGACCTTTGCAGTATTACAGGTCTAGAGGTTTAGGAGGAAAAAATAGCTTCATGGGCCAGGCCCAGGGTCCCTCTACTGTTTGTAGTCTAGGGACGTGGTGCCCTGCATCCAAGCCACTCCAGCCATGACTAAAAGGGGCCAAGGTACAGCTTGGGCTGTTGCTTCAGAGGGTGGAAGCCCCAAGCCTTGGCAGCTTCCATGTGGCATTCAGCCTATGAGTGCACAGAAGTCAAGAATTGAGGTTTGGGAACCTCCACCTAGATTCCAGAAGATGTATGGAAATGCCTGGATGCCCAGGAAGAAGTTTGTGCAGGGGAGGAGCCCTCATGGAGCACCTCTCCTAGAGCAGCACAGAAGGGAAATGGGTCAGAGCCCCCACACAGAGTCCCAACTGGGGCACTACCTAGTGGGGCTGGGAGAAAAGGGTCACTGTCCTCCAGATTCCTGAATGGTAGATTCACTGACAGCTTGAACCGTGCACCTGGAATAGCCACAGACACCTGAAATGTCACTAGGAGACACTTAATGTGGGGTAAAAGCCAAGAGATCTTCAGATACTGTGATTGGAGTATTTTCAATTAAGGCAATGTCAGAAAGTTACTGAGTTACTAACGTCTCTGTTGAAAAAATTAAGTAGCACTGAGCATTAAAGTGATTTTGATTCTAAGATACAACATCTATAGGCATTAAAATATTTCTATAATATAAAAATGGAAAAGGTATTGACTATCAGAATATCTGGACCAATATTTCATAACACACCCCCCCATTTCAGCAAATCTAGTGGGGAGGTTGTGAACAAAAGACTAATTTATGT